ATGGGCTGAATGGACTACAGCCTGTGATTTGAAATCACAACCTTGCGATTGCGAGCCATGCCCCGTACCCAGACCACCACTGTTTCGCAGCAGATGGTATGCTCCGATAGGTCTCAACAAAAGTTATCAGGCAGCCGTGATGGCAATAGAACCATTGACTTGACTTGGTCACGGCATAGACGTAGCAACCAGCACCAGCCTGGCTGCTCTTGATAATCGTGAGAATGCAATAACAACCATCAAATTGTGGAGTCCGCATCACAGCGTGCGTTGAAGATTCCTTGACGTCATTTGAAACGAGTAGGCCACTGTGTGCCGGGGTCATGCTCATACATTTGAAAAAATTATTTGACAATAATAAACTCAGTTCTTTGTAGCGCAAGTCGCACAAGGCCTCAAAGCGTTTTACATGAAGCTTAAGTTACAGAGAAAGCCTTTTATAAAAACAGGTGAGTTTTAAAATAGGATTTAAGAAAGTGTCACAGACTCAGATTCCCTAATGGACCAAGAAAGGGAATTCCACAATTACGGAGCCTGGCTGCAGAAAGTTATCTGTCTCCCATAGAACACAGTCTGGCACAGCAGCAAAATGGTCCCACGATTGTGAAACGAAGCAGACTGTCTGCAAAAACAGCGCCTTCTTTATAGTCATGCGTTATAACAATGGCGCAAACTAAATCATTATTATCTACTAAATAATTATCCTTAATAATTATTCAACTTATGCTTAATGTGACACGTGGTGTAAATTGTCACTCAATTTCCGATTTCGCTCCCGACATGTTATGGTGATGTTAAAGTCAGTCGTGAAAAGTATGAAACCACCATTGATGACAAGCTTTGTTGGTCAACATTTAATGGGTAGCCGAATTATTTGATGGGCAGCCTCAATAAATTCTAAAGTCTGAGCAACATGTTGGCACGTATAAGTAGCATCTTTGTAAATGCGACAATCTTCTTTTAACATGTAAAATTTCGATTTAAAGCTTTCGTGACTGCAATGATTCATCTTCTTTGGTTCTTTCGGTAAAGTCACGTAGAATGAGAATAAAATAATAAATTGATAAAATAAAATAACACAATAATATTCTCACGACGTTTCGGCCACAACACAAGCGGCCTTCATCAGGTGAAGGGAGCGAGACTGTCTGGTAGGACAGCGCTGGAGTGAGAGAGCCACGTTCAGATCACGGCTTTTAAGCTGTGTGAGAGGAACAAAGAGCCTTGACGAAGGAATTAGCATAAAATTTAGCATTGAAAAGGCTGAATGATTAGCTTGTGACTGGTCACAGAAATAGCTATGTTAAAAGTTAAAGCATACACATCCGCAGAGGCACCCATTGTTAAAAGGAATTAGCATAGAATTTAGCATTGAAATAGCTAAATTAAGGCATTCGCTTGTAACTGCTACAGAAATAGTTACGTTGAAGTCAGAGCATACACATTCACCGAGGCACTTAGTACAAATCAAAACAGGAGAATTTAGCATTGAAATAACTAGGCGAATTTAGCATTGAAATAACTGGTTGATTTGCTGGTGACTGGTCACAGAAATGACTACACATCTGAGCTATTTACAGTACTATATAGTGAAACAATAAAAACTAAAATATAAATTACCTTCATGTTATCAATAAACTCTATATTCTCCAATCAGCTAAGCTAGCAACCATAAGTCGTTATATATCACAATGCTATATGGCGAAAAAATGGGTGGATTCTTACCCTCAAATTTTCGTACCACGGATAGCTACGGGCCCCGTTCAGACGGACGAGTTCGTCCATGGTCGGAACAGAGGAGGGGGAGAGAGACAGCTGCGAAGCCCTAGTATACTCCATGTTGTAAACCATACCATTAACCGTGGTGTGAGAGGTATTAAGAGGCAATGCTGGCGAAAGAGCTGCGGTCTGAAGGTCATCGTAAAATTACAATTAATTAAGAACAGAGATGATTTAACACATCTTTCCAGTGGTTACTAAGCCTGAATCCATCTTCTCGGTTGAAATTGTCTCTGTGCTTGTATATGTGAATGGCCTCATGAACGAATCTCTCATGGTAGCCAGTTGGTTTGCAAAGAACCTCCGTCTTGGAGAAGTCAATGTCATGTGAGCCCACTGAATTGTAACAGTGATCTGCCACGGCAGAGGAGTTCGTCTTACCGTGTTTCAAGTCTGCTTTATGTTCGCGGATGCGGTCCGAGATATGTCTTTTGGTTTCTCCAATGTAGCTACTACCACAGAGGCACTTTAGTTTGTAAACGCCCGGGTACTGTATGTCTGGAAGAGCATCTTTTACAGATGGAACTAAATCACGGATTTTGTGTACTGTGTTGAATCGGACCTGGATCTTGTGTTTATTCAGGATTTTGGAGATCTTTTTAGTGACCCCTGCAATGTAGGGTAAGGTGATGGTTTTGAGTGGCTCCACAAGAGGATCCTTCTTCATGACTGGAGTGATGGCTTTGCGGATTGTGTAGTCGGAGTAGCCATTAGCCCTGAGAGCCTGGTGTACGTGCTTGAGTTCACTGGTAATGTGTTCCTGGTCGGAAATGCATTGGGCTCTATGGTATAGAGTCTTGATGAGGCAGTTCTTCTGGGATGGATGGTGGTGGGAATCCGGTTTCAAGTAAGCATCTGTATGGGTAGCTTTCCTGTAGACAGAGTGGCTCATTGAACCATCATGTCTCCTTTTAATTAAGACATCCAGAAAGGGTAGTTTGCCATCTTTTTCGACCTCCATGGTAAATCTGATGGCTGGGTGTATGGAATTGATGTGGTCGCGGAATTGGTCTAGAGCAGGCTGGCCATGTGGCCAGATCACAAAGGTGTCATCAACGTACCTCTTCCATAAGGTCGGGCGTAGAGTGGCAGTCTGGATGGCGTCAGTTTCAAATTTTTCCATGAATACGTTGGCTACAACCGGAGATAGGGGGGAGCCCATTGGGGTGCCCTCAGTTTGTTTGTAGAAAGTTCCATTCCAGGTGAAGTATGTGTTGGTTAAGCAATGTCTCACCAGGGGGGGTACATCAGTATGCAGTCCTTGATGAACCAGGTCTTCAATGATAGCGATGGTGTCAGGTACCGGGACTTTGGTGAACAAGGACACCACATCAAAACTGACAAGCAGGTCGTTTGGGGACAGGGAAATGTCTTTGATTGTCGATACCAGGTGAGTAGAATTTAGTACCGCAGAGGTGGTTTTTCCAGTGAAAGGTCGCAGTATATCAGCCAGAAAACGTGCCAGTTTGTAGGTGGGGGAGCTGATAGTAGAGACGATGGGACGAAGGGGTGTATCTTCTTTGTGTATCTTTGGAAGGCCATATAATCTTGGTGGTCTGGCAGCAGAGGGTTTCAACAAGAACTGTTTGTTCTCATCAATTAATGCTGTTGAATCAGAGATAATTTTGTTCGTTTTGGTGACCAAGCTGTTGGTGGGATCTCTTTTTATTTTTGTATAGCTGCCATCGTTGAGTAGTTCTTGAATTTTGTTGTTATATTCTGTTTTGTCCATGATGACAGTGGCATTGCCTTTGTCGGCTGAGAGAACGACAATATCATCCCTCTTTTTTAATTGAGATAATTCAAAACGTTCGTCTTTGCTGATGTTGCTAGGTGGCAACTTAGCGTTTTTGAGGGTTGCAGCGATTTCAGATCTTGCTACGTCTGCAGAGATGTGACTCAAGCCCTTGAGTGCAACGTCGACATGGGCAATGATATCATTAACCGGTAAGTGTCTCGGTGTGACAGCAAAGTTTAGACCTTTAGCTAAAACGGATTTCAGACCATCAGAAATGGAACTGTTACTGCGATTAATTACAACTTTGTTGACGTCTATCTTTTCGGTGTGTGGATCCGATTTTTTGCTGGAGAGGTGATTGAATTTGGAAATCAAATTGTCCCTACATTTGTTCGACATAGTGGCAGCCGAAGAGGTAGTCATATTGTCTACATGTTCCCAATCCGATGTAGACATAATTTAGCTATTTCAATGCTAAATTCTATGCTAATTCCTTTTAACAATGGGTGCCTCTGCGGATGTGTATGCTTTAACTTTTAACATAGCTATTTCTGTGACCAGTCACAAGCTAATCATTCAGCCTTTTCAATGCTAAATTTTATGCTAATTCCTTCGTCAAGGCTCTTTGTTCCTCTCACACAGCTTAAAAGCCGTGATCTGAACGTGGCTCTCTCACTCCAGCGCTGTCCTACCAGACAGTCTCGCTCCCTTCACCTGATGAAGGCCGCTTGTGTTGTGGCCGAAACGTCGTGAGAATATTATTGTGTTATTTTATTTTATCAATTTATTATTTTATTCTTTTAACATGGTTGGCTATGTACGGTGTGAAATAATTTCAACATACGTCTATAGATTGTTGGGTGGTGGAGGGTGAATGACAAGAATTTCAGCATAAAACAACCGCGTGGGCCTAACCCAGCAGCGACTACGGATCGGTGTGAACGGCGTCGCCATGGATACTTAGTCCGGTAGCGACAGGCATCGGGCAGTGCTCATCTCCGCTACATCGGCAGTGGAATTTTCACACTCACAGGTTCCCCAACACCACTCCGTTAATCAACCTACAGAAAGACCAGGGAACGCCGAAAGGCGAACAATACAAAGCCATGCACATATCATGGCATGTATAGAGCGTGCTCTGGTCTGATACCGGTGAGACAATTCCATAAGAAAGGCTGTCCCTGGTGTAGGCCAATTAGTTTCAGAGCCAATACAGAAATTACCAGAGCATGTTTGTTTGCATGTTTTGCCATATGTACGTGTGGCTAATGTAGACTTGGTATCCATTTGGTGTTTCAACATCGTACCAGCTCCTGTTTTATCGCCAGAACAGGTAAAACCCATTGTTAGTTTTCATACTTTCATATTGGCAACAAAAATATCCCATAGATACAACCTCCAGGAAGGGTCGCAGATTTCCTATTGCAGCCAGGAGAGGGTGGTGACCCTGCTGCTGTGCGGGTCCCCACTCCGTCTCACGCAGCCCCGCGTCCTCCGTGGCGGCCGCGTTTCTGCTGGCGGCGCTGCTGCCCGCGGGCGCGTCCGCCTGGGATCTGGTCAACGACTGGAGGAGTCTCAAGACGGTGCACGGCTCCGTGCAGACGTTCATCGTGGATCTGCACAACGACCTGCGTCGCAACGTCACCCCCTCGGCGGGCAACATGCTGCAGATGGTGAGGGCGGTGTGGGAGGATCCTCTCTGGCTCGCTCACTCGCCGTATCGCATGCTTCGTGTGCTCGGTGATTGACAGTCACTCGAAGAGTCGTTCACTCATTTAATGGTTCGGTGATTCACTTGCCCTCTCACTGGCTCAATAACTCTCAATGGCTCCAAAACTCCCATCTTAGGAAGCCACTGGAGCTATGCACTTTTAAATATAGATTGAAAACTAATTTCTTTAGAACTGCTGTTTGTGTTTAGTTTGTTGTCCTTCCCCCGCACCTCCGATTAGCGTGGTTGGCTACGTGCGGTGCGAAAGAAGTTCTACATAATCCGTATATTTACTCACTTACTCAACTATTCATCAATCAGTGTCTCACAATGGCTCATTCACTCATTCATGCACTTAATGACTCAGTAATTCACTCACTCGCTGACTCACTAAATGACTTAGTGATTCACTTGCTCACTCGCTCGTTCAATGATTCACACGGTGACTTATGAAATGACTTACTAACTCATTCATGTACGCACTTAATGTCTCATTGATTCACCTGGTCACTAACTGATTCCCTAAATTATTTAGTGATTCACTTACCCGCTCACTCACTTATTTAACAAATCACTCACTCTAACCATGTAATGACTCACTCACTCAATGATCAATCATTTACTATTTCGTAACTCATTCTCTGTCTCACTCAACCGCATCTCAATTGCATAATGACTCATAAATTCATTCATGCACTCTTTCGAACAGTTGCTCACTCAAACACCGTTTCATTGCATCGCTGACTAACTCTGTCTTGCTCACTCTCACAAATGGATTCATCCCCTCACTGGCTAATTAAAAAAATGAACAATTATACTGCCATGTATTGGCATTTACAGATGTCTTGCTTTCCCCCATAATTTCCATGTTGATCTGATTACGTCTGTGCATTTTGTACCACGCCTTGAGAGGCAACATTTACTCAGGGCTTAATTTCAGTTGGGTCTGTCTGGGTCAGCGACCTGGAAAGAATACATCCACTATACCTCTCACTATGACCTTGGCTGCTCGTCACGTACCTACTCCAGTCTGAGCAGCCACCCGCAAAAAAATATTTGGTGGGGAACTAGGCTTTGGAAGTACTTAAAAAGCTGAGTAACTCAAATCCTTATTTCTTTCCGGCAGATGTGGAAAAAGGAAGCCTACTTGAACGCCCTGTCCTGGGCTAACAACTGCACCTTCGGCCACAGTCCGGACGCCAGACGCAAAACGACACGTAAGCCTCGCACAGCGCTGCCCCTCCCTCTCGTGGGGCTGGGTTACGATTAATTGCGTCAAAATAGAAAAATTTTAAAACTATAAACCATTTTTTATTTTACCAGGCAAGGTCCACTGAGCTATGTCGCTCTTCTTCAGAAGCGACCTGGCCACAAATGATAGCTCAGCAAAGTGGCTTATCATGTGGATATTTATAACAGCCAAATACTATGAACGCGTGTTGATTCTCAATGTGGAGGGGAAAAACTGGGGAGAACACGTCCTGGGTTCGATTTTGACCCTGACGCCTGTATACCAGGCGAGGTAGTTAATATCTCGCCACCGCGATCATAGCCTTCGTGTATGCGACAAACCGGTGAGGATTTTTTTGTATTTGCATAAAGAAAGAAACGTAACACGTTCGTCAACAACACTGGGGCCTTTAAAGTAAAACTATACAATCATGCTACGAAGGAGGGCTATTGCCCGAAATGTCGCCAATTATATATTTATCTTTTTAAGGCCACAGTGTTACAGGCGAATGTGTTGAGGTTGTTGTTGTTGTTTGTGCAGCACTGCCAGCACAGCAGCAGCGTCACCAAATAAGGGGGCCGTGGTGTAGTCATGGTGGGCACAGTGGACTTGCAATACAGGGGCCATCGCTTCCATCTCCCGGCACAGCAGTTGAAACAATGGGACAAGTTTCTTCAATATGCCCTCTCACCCCCCCTCCCCCGACTCTGTCCACCCAGCAGTATTAATGGGTACACCACCACAGTGAGTCGATCGGCAGGTCGCGTTTGGTGGGGTAAAGTGTGGGTACTTCCACCACGTCTTCCATGATGTCTGACCGGCGTTCAAGAGTTGGATAAATGCCCTCTAGAAGGGCTCTCTGTAGCTGCCTCTGGTGGAGGCCTTCCCCCAAAAATCAATATCACAAGTTTAGAGTATTGGGCTGCTGCTATAAATATCCGCGTTATGAGCCACTTCGTTGAGCTATCATTTGTGGCCAAGTCGCTTCTGAAAAGTATCTAAAAAGCTCAGGGGGCCTTACCTGGTAAAATAAAAAAGTAGTTTAAATAGTAGTGGCGTGAGCACGGCAATTGCAGGGCTTCACCTTTATAGTTTTATTGCACTAAAATGTGTAGCGTTGGGGGATATTTACATTTTTCCACAGTTTGTCTTTGGTTTCACTTATGTAAAAAATGTGCCGATGTATGCACGACCAACGATCAGGGCAATAATCGCCAAGGCGATATGTTCTGGCCGGGTGGTCAAAAGGTAAACCAGGTCCTATTGTTAATTCTTTTTATCTTAATATAATTATTTGGAGACTTAACCAAAGGATAAAAAACATAGATACAACTTCTGTGGTGATAGGAAACGACATTGTTCACGAGGATGTGGGTAATTTCTGCTCAGGGCCTTAACTTCTGTCAGCAGCGGAGAATGATAAATACGCGTAAAAATAAATTCGGAGACAATTGTGTGTTTTGTGATCCACACAGCGATTATTTCTCACTATAGCAGTGTAAAACCTGTAAGCGCTAAGATGTACCTGTCTAACTTCTTTGAGCTCGGTTCATCGAGTGTGCTTATGTCTGGCGTGTGTGTGCCTCTCTTTCTTACTTGTGCCAGCTCAAAATAATTTACAATGGTTTTCTAAGAAGCCTGAATTTGTAAAAAAAAAAAATCTCATGAGCGATGTCTCTGCAGCAAAAGCCCTCGGCCGGATTGAAGGCTCCGTTCAGACACAGGGTTACAAATATCGTGTGACAGGTGCAGGTACCGGTACAAAGATCGTTGCTTTGCTTCAAAGCCCCTGTTAAAAATCCCTTCCCTCTATTGTTTTTTTGGCACATATTTCCAGCTTAAGATTAAAAAGATACTGACATTTATATATAGAACTGTGAAAGAGTACAGTTGCTGGTACAGAAGAGCCCCCAGTCATTAATTGTTGTGGTCATATGAACCTTATGGCGGGACCCGGGGTCCCATAAGCCCCCGGCTCTCGCATAGACATTATATTATAATGTAAACATTATATATTATATTATAATATAAACATATTATAATGTAAACAAAAACTTTGCTCTTTTTCACCAATGGGTTTGAAGGATGGTGGCAAGTGTCGTCTTGTTAAACTATGCTTTTAAAACTGAAAACTACTTACCTGCAGTACCTTTATTTAAATACACTATCGAACATTTTTTACACCCCTCTGTCAATCATCGTGTTTCTCAGTGTGGATTTGTGAACATACTTTGCAAACAGTACATAAAATAGTACGCGTTTTCAATGCGCCGTTAATATTGTAACAAGCGTTTGTACCAATGTTACTCTACAGAGTAGTGGGTCGCCGCTCCTCTTATCCGCATTGATACGAGCGGTATGTGGGGACTATGGCTTAACCGCAAAAAAAAACTATCTGCACAGATGCATACGGACAAGATAAGTATTATCAAACAGGAGGAATTAACGGTGCAACGCATCTCATCTGTTAAATATCTGCAGGCAATAGGATTGTCATCGATTGATCCTGACTGCAGACATTGGTAGGTCACAAATAATAATGAAGATAAGAGAGCAGTTTCACTGTATTATGCATACCGTTATGACAAATAAAGAACTTAAGTCGTGTAGGCAGTTTGAGCAGTTTTGGATAAGACTCATGATCCTGCCCATACCCGAGCATGGAGTGCATTCGCTTGTTCAGCTCTTGTGCGTATTCGTCCTCGCCGCTGCGCTTGGACACGACACGACACCAGAACGATCCGCGCCAGGCGGGTCACGGCGTTCATGTGCGCGGTGGGACGGAGTCGCCAAAATAAATTAATTACGATTTTTACTTCCGTTTATTCGGGACCCTGGGGTCCCGCCATAAGGTTCATATCTCAAGCCTGACTCATCATTGTCATCATCGTTGCAATGAGGTCGGTAAAATATGTCCCAGTTGCTACGGTGATATGAATAGTTCCGTGGAACGATAACTCACTGACATAAGAATTTGGAATCTTCACCACTGGTTTTGGAATAAAAAAATCCAACTATACTCATTTTGGCGTTTGAAAACTTTTGTTTTGCAATTCATAGACAAATATTTGAGTTTGTAAGAAGCGCAGAGTAACACAGGATGTGGTTTTACTTAACCATTGTTATTAATCTAGGACGGCCTCACTTGATCACGTTGTTTAGAAGGGTCCTGCATTGAGATATTTGGCCATTTGCTTCACGTGGGTTTAGCATAGCTGGGAGGAATTCGGAAGTGCCTTGAGTACTGTATACCATTGCATGAAAGGAGCGCACGCCAGTGTTCATAAACAGGTCAGAAACCAACTTGCCGTACTGCCATCTGCTGGCCAACACGCAGCTCAGAATAATTATAAATCCCAGCAGAAATCTGTTTGGTCCACCAACCCAGCCTCCAAAACTCTGAATAACAGGCGTGCTACCACCATGCCAGCCACTGTTTAATTCACACAGTTTGAGTTGACTGCCATACAGAACTCCACAGCCCTAATACCCGCTACTCGTATAATCCGTGGTAGCTGTCGGGTCCGCAAAACTCCTATTATCTGCTGTCCTATTTCTTCCTGTTAACAGTGGGTTATCCGCGATTTTTTTACCCAGCGGCTGAGAGAAATAAAATCGGATGATGTGCCGAGTCAATCCCAACGAGACATTTTACTTACGCGCTTCTCGCAAGCTTCACCACTGAGCCCTATGGCTGGTGTGCTCGTTAAGAGTTAACACGTTTCTTGAATTGAGAGAGGTTATTATAGGAACGTAAATACAGACATCATGAGGATTATGAACAAGTCGGAAAAAGAAGCGCTGTGACCTGCAGTGTGGCGTTTGTGAATTATTAGGTGGACTAGTACGTCGACTCACGTAGAAGTAAGAAAAATGTTGCGCGTAGAAGAAGACAACCTGACTATGATGCAGGCAGTGATGAGAAGGAAGCTGGAATTATTTGGACACATATGCAGGATGGACAACAGCAGCAAAAAATAAATGTGTGTTGTTCGGGAAAATGGAAGTAACAGGAAAGAGAGGAAGACCTCACAGAGATTGGTGTCAGAAAGATGCGGCACTACTTGAGCATATTTACATAATACAAAGGAAAGTGGGAAAAAATGACGAAATGTGCAGTGGACACCTACGGCCTATCTGCCCATGGATCGTGATAATGATTACATCGCAAGATTGCGTGAGACAGCGGCAGCTTGGGGAAGGTCTTCATCCAGCAGTGGATTGACCATGTCTGATGGTGACAATGGTGCTGCTATTGCGTTTGAACAACAGTGTGAACCTCCTCCCCCCCTCCTCCTCCCCGTGTCTCTCCGGCAGAGTGGACGTGCGGAGAGAACATCTTCATGTCGAGCGCGCCCTTCACGTGGAACTACGCCATCCGCGACTGGTATAACGAGGTGATCTCGCCCGGCTTCCAGTACGACGTGGGGTCCACGACGACCGGAGCCGTCGGCCACTACACCCAGGTGAGGCCTTGCCCAAGCAAGCAACGGGAGGAGGAATTGACGCAGCCAAAAATAAAGCTAAAATTAACTATACTCTTTGGTTCTATTGGGTAAAGTCACGTAGGTAAAAAATAAAATTACAAAAATCACGACGTTTCGGCCACAACACAAGCGGCCTTCATCAGGTGAAGGGACGAGACTGTCTGGAGGACAGCGCTGGAGTGAAAAAAGCCACGCTCAGATCACAACCTTTAAGCTGTGTGAGAAGAAACAAAGCGCCTTGACAAAGGAATTAGCATATAATTTAGCATTGAAATGGCTGAGTGATTAGCTTGTGACTGGTCACAGAAATGGCTATGTTAAAGTTAAAGCATACACATCCGCAAAGGCACCCCTTGACAAAGGAATTAGCATAGCATTTAGCATTGAAATAGCTAAGTTAAAGTATACACATCCGAAGAGGCACCCCTTGACAAAGAATTAGCATAGAATTTAGCATTGAAATAGCTGAGTGATTAGCTTGTAACTGGTCACAGAAATAGCTATGTTAAAGTCAGAGCATATACATTCACCGAGGCACCTAGTACAAATCAAACAGGAGAATTTAGCGAAACACAACCACACTCAGACCACGGACCTTTAAGCTGTGTGCGAGCAAACAAGGTGTCCTGACAAAGAAATTAGCATAAAAATTAGCATTTGATTTGCCGATTTTAGAAAAGAGGCGGTGTACGTGCCGGTGGACTTGCCGTTTGGCGCGGGGGCGGAAGGGGGAGTTTACCTATTGATGGTGTGAAAAGGGAATTTATAAGAGCTGCGAAAGTTTGGGGTACCACTACTTGAAAAAATATACTGTACCATTGAAATTAGTTTAATGTTTAGTTCGATTTTGAACATCTTTCCAATGGTTGCTTAATTTGAAACCATCTTCTCAGTTGAAATTGTGTCTGTGTTTGTATATCTGAATTGCCTCATGAACAAATCTCTGATAAAAACCCGTGGGTTTGCAAAGAACCTTGGTATCGGAGAAAATTATGTCGTGATCACCCACAGCGTTGTAACAGTGATCAGCCACGGCAGAAGAATTCGTTTTGCCGTGTTTCAAATCTGATTTGTGCTCGCGAATTCGGTCAGAGACATGTCGCTTTGTCTCCCCGATATAGCAATCACCGCAGGTACAACTGAATTTGTAAACCCCGGGGTACTGTAAGTCAGAAATGACATCCTTCACGGATGGGATCAGATCACGAATTTTGTGTACTGTATTGAACCGGACCTGGATCTTGTGTTTGTTTAGAATTTTGGAAATCTTTTTACTAACGCCTGCTATATATGGTAGTGTGATGGTTTTGACCGGAGTATCAAGTGGTTGTTTCTGTATGGAGGGAGAAACAGCTTGGCGGATGGTACGGTCAGAGTAACCATTCCTTTTGAGGGCCAGGTGTACATGTTTTAATTTTCTAAAATCGGCCAATCAAATGCTAATTTTTAGGCTAATTTCTTTGTCAGGACACCTTGTTTGCTCGCACACAGCTTAAAGGTCCGCGGTCTGAGCGTGGTTGTGTTTCGCTAAATTCTCCTGTTTGATTTGTACTAGGTGCCTCGGTGAATGTATATGCTCTGACTTTAACATAGCTATTTCTGTGACCAGTTACAAGCTAATCACTCAGCTATTTCAATGCTAAATTCTATGCTAATTCCTTTGTCAAGGGGTGCCTCTGCGGATGTATATACTTTAACTTAGCTATTTCAATGCTGAATTCTATTCTAATTCCTTTGTCAAGGGGTGCCTTTGCGGATGTGTATGCTTTAACTTTAACATAGCCATTTCTGTGACCAGTCACAAGCTAATCACTCAGCCATTTCAATGCTAAATTATATGCTAATTCCTTTGTCAAGGCGCTTTGTTTCTTCTCATACAGCTTAAAGGTCGTGATCTGAGCATGCCTTTTTTCACTCCAGCGCTGTCCTCCAGACAGTCTCGTCCCTTCACCTGATGAAGGCCGCTTGTGTTGTGGCCGAAACGTCGTGATTTTTGTTATTTTATTTTTTACCTATGTGACTTTACCCAATAGAACCAAAGAGTATCGATCCTTGCAGTCACGAAAGCTTTAAATCTAGAACTAAATTTAACTATAAAACTAAACTATTTAAGATTTTCCAAGTAAGGCCCACTAAGCTGTATAGCTCTTTTTCAGAAGCGACCTGGTCACAAATGATAGCTCATCGAAGTGGGTTATCGTGTGGATATTGACAGCCAAATAACTTTAAACACGTGACGTTGATTCTCAATGTGGAGGGAAAACTTGAAGGATCTAGAGGAAAATCCACATGACTACAAGGAGAGAGACACGCAAACTCGAAATATACAGCAGGTATCAGGGTCGGGATCGAACCCACGACCTCTTGTTTACCAGGTGAGGGAGTTCTATAATCTGCATGTCTCTGTGTGTTGTGCAGCTGGTTTGGTACAACTCCTTCCAGCTTGGTTGCGCAGTCAACTACTGCCCAAAAAATCCGGGCGTGGCCAAGTACCTCTACGTATGCCACTACTGCCCCATGTGAGTCTGTCTCCGCACACGCTCACGTGACCTACGTTCTCTTCAAACCATGTTCACGTTCAGCCACTGGAAGTCATCATCATTATCACTGGCATCACTGGCATTGTCGACATCATCACAACCACTACACTGCCGACTAAACGCATCTGACATACGGTTGTTCAAGGCCTGTTAGTCACTCAACGACTACACCACCTGCTACGTGACTTACCACAACGCTCAATGACCCTCAGGACCCAATGTTACCTTGTTTGGCCTTCCACCCATACGCTACGATCACCAATTACTGCACAGGTATACGTAACGTTCATTCCTTACCATCACTCGGTACAGAAAATTGTGGACTCCACCAGCCACTTCTGTATGGAATACTGTAGAGTGTTTCCTCCACGTGCATAAACACTTATTAATTGGACGATAGCACCTTAATGTAGGGTGGACCGCAGAGCTTGGAGGAATGTGGTGCAAGCTCACCACGTGATGGCTGCTGCTGCTGTGTCCCAGCACTCCCCGTCTGTCTCCTCGTGCCTGAGTCGTTCTCTCTCTCTCTCACAGAGAGCGCAAATACTGCCTGGCGCATTTCACATTATTATTGTTATTCCGAAGCCTATTTTGCATAGGCAGACTATTAGACATTATTACTATTTTAATCATTTACTTTGTTTACATTATGAGACCTCCTTTGCCAGTAACAAGATATAGTAATAGGTGTCAGTTTTTGTGCCAGTTAAAATGGTAAAACCTATTACTACATTTACTTTGTATTTATTAATTTGCTTGTATTGTGCTTGTGGTAATATTTGTGTATGACGATAAATAATGCATCTACTACTCTGACGACCATTGCTAGCATTACAACTACCTCTACCACTAACACCACCACAGCCAATTACAACTACCTCTACCACCACCACCATGATCAGCGCAATGTTCCGTGTTAATGATGGCTGAGTCGTGAGCGTTACTGACGTACAAACCTGTGACCTTACATCGCAGGGGAAACCTGAACACCCGCATCAACCGACCCTACGACCTGGGCACTAGCTGCGCCTCCTGCCCCAAGAACTGTGTCAATAACCTGTGCGGTGAGTGAAGCATCCATAGACACACGAGCCTTCGTCTCTACACCTACACTCAAGGATACGGATTGTAAGGAATTGTATGTACAAGGCGCTTGCTTAAATGCTTTTGCATCGCATCTTATCTCAAATAATACAATTCCCTGCTGTAGAGTATCCTGCATGTCTTTTTGAGTTGTATAAAACACGATTGTTCTAGATAGATGTATAAGGAAGCATCGTTGTTTATAGCTGAACATCGTGTTTGGTAAATAGACGTCCACTTTTTTGGTGAATTGGGGACATTTTGCCAAAGCACAGAGTTCATTCAGTACACACCAATGACCTGAGTTTAGTTCCCAAACACATCAGTGGCGAATATCTGAACCGGCCTTGGGCCTCCCCTAGTTCGACTCAACCTTAAACGGGTACCTTGTGCGGCGTGCAAACATCGGCACTGGAGGAGAAAAAGTCGGCCGGGCGTGGTGCCGGGCACACCATCTCCTCGCGCGCCGTGCCGCCCGTAATAGGTGCTCGCTAACAGCACTTGCCCCCAACAGTCTGTGAAAAGCTAAATGGAGGATATTTGTCTGAACTGTGTGCGTCTGTGCGCGTGTGCCCCACAGACAACCCGTGCAAGTACAAGAACGGCTACGCCAATTGTGCGGCGATGGTGGCACAGTACACGTGCAAGAACGCCATCATTCTAAAGAACTGCCCTGCCAGCTGCAATTGCCAAGGACGGATTTAATGAAGGCTCCAAAATGACCAGACTCCAGGACTCGACTAGATACAGTACTCACTTCCAACAAACTCTCTTTTTTTTACTTTATTTTATCATTGGCAGAGCTGTAAGTGGCACTGCTTCTTTGGAGAGGGTGGCTCTACCTACTTGACTGGCCTGGCAGACACATTCTGCACATCTGTGAGAAAAAGAGCTTCATAGATTATCGGATTTCTCCAGTATAAATATTGTACTGATTCATTCATGCAACAGATCGAGCTCTCCATCGCGCCTTCTGGCCGTACCGCGTGTTGTTCGGAACAATGCCCGACGTTTCACTCCGTGTGCTGGTGGGAGCGTCCTCAGGAATTTAATTTAAGAAGCTCCGAACAACACACGGTGCAATCCCCCACCGCCTCCCCCTACTAAAACACGCGAAACAGCACAACCGTGAAAATCTGCGCTGGAAGCATTCAAAAATGTGTGCTCACGTTCATCCTTTCCGTCCTTTGTTAGGTTGAATTCATTTTTGGCGCGAACTGATCAGTGCACGTATGCTGGCAAATAGCAATGTGGATTAATTATTCTCATACTCCATCTGGTGTGATCTAAAGGACCCTCCGAACAGATTTCAATCTCCATTTTTCTTGAGAAGGCATCGAAAGCACGCTGGTGGTGTGGAGGTTGGCTCGTTAGACGCACCGGGTTTGATCTGCACTCAAGCTGGTGTGAAGTACCAGGCACAATTCAATATCCACTCGTGCCTTGGACTGTTAGTTCCGTTATAATTAAATACGTTTATAACGCAGATTTTCCTTGGTGGGATAAAACCTGGGCAACCCCCACCCCCCCTGTCACCGCCACCTGCATCCTCTGATGTGCTGGCACGTGTTGTGTAAGGGATAGAGAAATGTCACGCGGAGGAGGTGCGAACACGCTGCGTGATGTGCTGAGCCTCGTGTCTCCAGTTAGTCATCATCCTGGGAGCTGTGCTGCCTGCTAAGGCGACAGCTCTGCCTCTCGAACCAGTGTCACAAATGCAATCAAAATCACAATCTCTATGCATTGCACAGCTTTGGAGAAAGTGCCCTGTGCTTTCCTTGCATGTGAAAAAAAACCCAAAATGTAAATTTACTGCAAATTAGGCCGATATATAATTAGACTTGGGTGGAATTGTAGCGCAGTGGGTAGCGCGCTGTGCTCTGAACCCGGTGACCTACCTATTAAGGCCTCCTCCACACGACGCCTGTCTTGTGGGTTGCTTAACCATACTTCACCGCACTGGTCAGTGGCATGACCAGCAATCAAACTCAGGTCGCTAGGTTCATAGCACACTAAGTACAAAGGATTACTTAGACTGTTAACAGTGGCTGAAACATACCATCTACAATATAAGACCAATGTACGCAACATTTCTAAATCTGGTGGTGTACGTATACGTGTTTGTTGAACTTCTTTCGCACCATACATAGCCAACCTTGCTAATCGGTGGTGCGAGGGAAGGACCACAGAGTGGGTGATGCTTTCACCATAATAGCCTTAACTGGTGTGGAGGGATGAGCAGAGTTTGGTAAGGCGGTGCGGTTTGCCCTGTGTCTCATTTTATAACCACGCAGAACTGTGGTTACAGAGCCATGGTTATGTTTGGGTTCGGCATTTAGCCGTTGTCACCTCCGATCATCGCGGTTGGCTACGTACGGTGTGAAAAAAATGCAACGTCCATTCATACATACACCTAGGTCAGTGTAGCACTTGCGATGTTGGTGAAGCGAGCAGGCGCCCTTCTCCATCTCTCTCGTTGGTGCACGCTGCATTGTCTGTCTTAGAGGCATTGTCTGTCTTAGATGCATTGTCTGTCTTAGAGGCATTGTCTGTCTTAGAGGCATTGTCTGTCTTAGAGGCATTGTCTGTCTTAGAGGCATTGTCTGTCTTAGAGGCATTGTCTGTCTTAGAGGCATTGTCTGTCTTAGAGGCATTGTCTGTCTTAGGAGTGGGTTTCATTGCTAACTTTTTATTGCTTTTTATGTCTTAAATAGTGTTTAAATTAATAGTTTTAAGAGGCATTTATTGTACTGTACTGCAGTTGCAGTAGTTGAATATGCATTGGGGGGTATTGTATAGTTTTTAAAATAGTGTTTCTATGAATGGGGAACGTGCTGTCCTTTTAAGTCCATGGGTTTATGTTAAAATGTTTACTCTATATACATGCACAGCGTATACGGTATTACTCTTACAAAGGGCCTCTGATTTAATTCACATTTGAATCAGAATGTTCCCTCAATAAGCGTACAAACAATTCCGCTGCCGATGATAATGCTTGAATGCACCTTGCGCTGCTCTTGTCGCATCCGGAGAGTCTAAATAAATCAACACACATTGGTCCTAGCCGACAATGCACGCGGTTTTTCTCTCGGCTCAGGTGGTGACTCAATAAGAAAGGCGTGTGGAGCGTTTTCAGTGACCACGCAGTTCGCCTTAACACCGTGGATGCAGCAGGCGGTCATGTGACTCAGAGGGCTTCATGTCCGTGCCAAAGACACTGAGACAGAACCACTGAGAGCATGGGTTTGAATCAAAGTTTCACCCACCCTGTGCTTAAACCGAGATTCTCAAGTTTAGTGAGTTTACGGTCTCAGTAAGTCGCCAATGACTGCTCACAAAAATCCATCACATTAAACAATGACATTTACTTCATCTGCCTGAATTTAGTTTTGAACGTTATAACAGTGGTCTGATTGGCACGTGACGAGCGCTCCCTGTTTTTGAATTTAAAATGTGTTCCCCTCTAGCAGGAATAACCTGACTCCAGAAGTAGAACACACACACACGTCATCGTGCACTGCGAGCTGAGACTTCTGAATGGATATACTGTATCTCCATCTCGTGACAAAAAATACACAATTGGAATTAACTTATGAGATATTAAAAAAACGAAAACAAATCGGTCATGTTCACCAATATCATGGTTACGCATTGGCTATTTTAATCAGTATAACAATATACCTTGTGCTTGTGTAAAAGTGGTAAACTGGAATTCATGGAATAGTTTATAGTGTGTTTTAGTTATATCGAAAATACATTGACTTTGTTACCAACCCTACTGAACTATAGTGGTATGCTTCCAGTTTTAAACACCTTTGTTTCCGATATTCAAAGCGAACCAATCATATCACTTGTAAGCTGCAGGGAGGGAGAATTTCGACATTTTCGCTTTGAAAAATCCGGAAAGGCGTTTTAAAAAATTGGCAGCACCCCGCTTAAATCGGCCGTGTTGGCAAATACGCATCTATTAATACGTCGTTACGTCGCTGATTTTCAGTGATACTTTTACGACAACGTGCTGTGTAAATGCGGTTGATGGTACGCGACTTGGTGCAGGGAATCGTCTTCATAATGGATTGCTCCACACCCGTACTCTCACACCTGCGCTGCTTGATACCAACACGTGCTACTGTGCTCGCAGGCGATGGGGGGTCGCTGTGGAGTCATTCATTTACAAGAGGGGTGAAACCTAGCAGTGGCCGGGTTCACGTGATCTCGCCGTGACACAGTTGAATATATGCATACCACATGCACGCAGGCATATGTGAATCTACTACTCTTGGTTAATGTTGTATTATAGAATGATTATATTAATGTGCGTGTGGTACACCCCACCTTACATTGTAATGGTATTCTTTGTTTTGTCTTGGAAAACGGTCTTTTTCGGGAGGGTCTCGCTTGGGATCTTTGGACAATTCCTCATTGAGTATTTCAGCGTGTAACCGGTATGTGCCTGTGTAACCGGTAACCGGTGTGCCTAACGGAAACCAACACGAGGGGATGACACCCAAAAGCCACACAGAGGTCAGCGAACTCCGTGCTACCCTGCCACGTACGGGTCACCTCAGAGCCCCGCAGGTCGGGAGTCTCACCGACAAGCTTGCATGATCCACCAACCCCTGCTGCCACAGTGCCGGATGACCTCAGTGCGCAGAGGCATCGGTTTTCTCTGGGAGCAATGTTCACCCCTTGGCGACATTGAGCAGTCCGAGTGGGACGTGCCACGCGTGTGCAGCAGCAACACGAGCCCAATTGTAGATGATGCGCGCGTGGGTTTCGCCTTTCGGAATGTTCCGTCCACAGGCGGTGGGATGTCGCGGCGCCCAAACAAGTGGCGACACGAGGCATAAACACAACCAAGCTGCTAGAATGCTCCCAGGAAAATTAAGAGAACATCAAATTCAAATCCTATTAAACACAACAAGCTCATTCACATGAAAAGTAAATGAATCTCTCTCGTCTATCTCGTCGACATCATATCTTCTGTCATCTCACTACATCTCCAAGCATCGTCTGCATCTTTCTGTCTGCGTCACGAGGCGTTCATTATATTATAAAAAGGATACCACAAATAATGTCTGGACACGCACCACCACTGATGACATACTCGAGTCCATCAGGCCACTTGGATCCAAGAGGCAACGCCTCTGTCAACAGGAATCTGGATTGAACGGGGGTCATTGGGAGTGGAATTTGCAAACACGAGGATGGAGGTGTCCCTTCGCGGTTCGAGGTTGTTTCCTCAGGCATGGCGTCAGCATTAACAATAGAATGCTGAGGGTTGGGACGTGATTATACACCCTTTGCTTAATGATGGAAGATATGTTTTGTATACTCAAACATTAAATAAATAATTTTACGTACCATAGTGCCTCACGTTGTATTGCTGCTTGACATATTTGTGAACTTATTTTTTACAGTCCACTAATGACATTAGCTTTACGTTGCATTTAAACTTTGCGGCACAAAATACGAATCTCTGGGTTTAAAGTTTTTGAGGTAAAATTTCCACTGAAAAAGGACAGTTGGGAGGGGGGGTCTCACCTGTGTTCACCTGTATTCCCACCTATGCCGCTGGACGGGAGGTGATGGGCGGGGCTTGTCATGCTCTCGGGGGTTTCCTACCTTCACGAGGCAGGATGTGGGGGCAGCCGCCTTTTTTTAAATGTGGCGATTTTTAAATGTGGCCCAAGGTGATTGACCACAACAAAACGCCGACTACATTTATTGGCCAATTAACCGACGTATAATCAGCTGATCGCCACAGTTCTAATGTCGCCATCACCAGGTAGCTGCACCTGGACTTAAACTTATGACGGCTGGGTGCAGGGTTAGTGTGCTGACCCCTTGACCATCCATGCACCCCAGATCTCACACTACGATATTCATAATAAAGGTTTTTGGGTTAGATCGCGTTATTTATAAATGTGTCGTAACCCTCCACCACCCGACACGGGCAATCAGCAAAAAAGTGTCACGTTGACAAAAATAGTTGACTCTTCAACACACCGGTGGAGGGTTACGACACATTTATAAATAACGCGATCTAACCCAAAAACCTTTATTATGAATAATATTGGTCGCGAAAGCCTACGTGTTAAACACACTACGATATGCCGGGTGAACGACTTATAGATTATTGCATTTCACAATCAAAGGAAGGCTGCCAAGCGTTGAGCTAGTGCCAACAAATGCCCTGCAGCTCTCTATATTTTGAGATGTTTTAGCTAATTAGTGAGCGTTTATACATTTGGGTGGAAACCGGAGCACCTGAAGAAAATCCGCACCTGTAAGGGGGCAACGCTCTATCCCTTACAGAAGGAGCAGGTGAGATCAGTCCACACTCTACCGCATTCTGCTGGCAAGCCACGGTAGGGCACCTCGATACCCACGGGAAGGGCGTCTTGCAACATGTCCGATAGACCAAGCCCCGCTGCTCCCACAGTGCTGGATTACAGGCTAAGTGCATAACCACCACTGCCCGGATGCTACCACTAACGTCAACCGGAGCAATTAGAAAACATAGCGCTTCATTTCAAAGCCTCCACGTGCCTCACAGCCACGGTCGGTGGCCCTAGCGGTGTGCGGCTGCACAGGGGGGCGCCGTGGTCAGTGGAGGGTACCCAAATCCATGTCCATTGCCCTAGAAATATCGTTGTTGCTGACACATTAATAAACGTGTGTGACCGTCTGTAAATGGGTGTTTAGCAATGCGATGGTGCATCTGCCAGTCATCTCAGCCAACCCACAGCACCTGGGTGTGTCCCCTGACTTCATGCACAAAGCCGGGCACATTAGTCAACCCATAGCACCTGGGTATGTCCGGTGATCTCCTGCCAGCAGTGACAATTTGACACTTCACGTGACGGTCTCAAAGTGTACCTAGCCTGGCACAAGCGATGTGGTGGCGAACGGCAGTTACTGTTGTTCATCGGCAGGATGACGGCATGCTTTGGCTGTGGCATACCAGGCGTGATGATGTCAATACAGTATATGGGTCACTGGCACATGCTACATTGCAATTTGTAGCAGCAAAGATACAAAGTCTCCCTTATTAGTGTTTCTGTAATATTTGCGTTTTTATAATATATCGGTGCAATAAAAATGTGTAATTTTGCATACCGAGCTGCTGCTGAAACCGTCCTTAAGACCACGCTATTCTGTTCTTGCGCATGATGGCAATATGTCCAGCCGTAAAATGTCAATGTTGAGTCTGCTCGGCACGAGAGGGCTTCAGGAGAGAGTTTGTGTAGTTTTGCTTCCCCTCCTCCAGACGACAGTGGTGGATCCATCGTTTGGTTTGCATGGTCACAGTCACACTGTGGTGTCCGCCATTGTTTATTTATGGAGATGTCCACATTGGACTGTTGATCCAAGACCACACTAAAACGTTTGCAAAGTGTGTACCATTTCCACTGCTTACTGCAATCCCAATACATCATTTACATATTTTACCACTCTGCTGATGCACTTTGTCCAACATAGCCTGGTGTGATAATTGATACTTGAGTGGGGTATCTGCAAGTGGATCACCCGTACTTTTATTTCTTACAATCTGCAGGGCCAAAACACGTTTTTAATGTTTAAGTCAGAGTGTTATAATGCTTCCGTAAATATTGGTATGGTATTGAGTCACTGGTGTAAGTTAAATATTCCTACGGCAGGGACAAGTTTATTCATAGAAAAACTATTTTTTACTTTTCTCAAAGTACAGTATTATCTTTTTTATCAACCACTCGGAGATAATGAACCAAGCTGATCCCCCATAACCTTCCATTTCAGAGTTGGGGGCTCTTACCACACAACCACCCAGACCAAACTAAACTCATAAAAAACTACATTACCTAATTTAGTAACACAATCTTGCCGAATATTTGTTGCCATAATTCAAAGTGGCATGATTCTGGGCCTGTATCCAAGTCTTGAAATATTCCTGTTAGAAAAGAGTTAACACGTAGTAGTAGGAGGCTTTTGTGACCAATATCATCCATAATAAAGGTTTTTTTGGGTTAGATCTCGTAAATGTGTCGTTAAACTTGCCACCACTAGACAGCCAATCAGTAAGGTTGTCACATAAACAGAACATGCCAAATCATTACGAGTACAGCACACCGATGTGTTGGAGAGCAAATCCACAACATTTACAATCTGAGTACGACGTTTCACCAGCAATTACAACTGGCATCATCAGACAGACAGCCAGATTTGTGGAGAAATCATGTTTCGTTCCTTAGAGGGTTGGATGTGATGGTATCGCTTGTGAGCACTTCTTGAGCGATGTGGGGGGTGGATTAATGAGTGCATATAAACTACAATGGGTATTCATTACCGGTTGGGTTATTTATATGGTAAACAACGTACATTATGAATGCACATTAAGAAAAACAGCCTGCCGAGTAGCACATACTGCACAAACAGTACACAATGTTGTCCCACGTCCGATCGCATAGCCGCGTGGGAGTGAATTTAAACCACATTTTGGTTCGCTGCATATACGTGAATCAGACAGCCCGGAAGACACACGAAGTCGCTATGCATGAATAAATGACACAAAATGCAATTTTCCTTTCATAATTTATTACGTTAATAAATGGAGCATGCAGTCTCCAGCTCTTAAAAGTTATCTCACACTGGTGCAAGAAAACTCTGCGAAATAATCTAATTTACAATAAAATACCGCCAGGCACTGACGCACTTTGTCACCAACACACTGCACCCTAGCACTTACACGCTGCCAGTATGGAGGCATCAACATCACGGGTGGAAACCTGCAAAAAAACACGAAGGGCAGGGGTAATCGAAGCGTCCGGAATCCCAATTTCACACTTTTAGCATCTACGGGAGATAAAATTATTTCTTTTTAAGTGCACGATCAAAACGTTTCAGTAAAAATGTTAAACTCGCAGCTCTATGACACAGATGTGCACATGATGGCTATCGATTTCAAAAACGCGCGTCGTACTCAACAGCAGCACGTGATGTCGAGCGTCACGGGGGGAGGGGCCGGGGGGGGTGGGGGGACGGGCCGGGGGGCGGGGCGTCGATAGTGATTGGCGTGCGGGCTGGAGTCGCTCCGTGACAAGCGGTGCTCATTTCAACGAGTCCAGGGCTTCGCAAACCAACTTGAACACTTCGTCCGCAGTGCCCTCAGCGCTGATCTGCGATGCAAACAAAAAACACCCACGTCTCACTTCTGGTATCTTATGATTATATTACAGGTTTTTTTTATTTCCCTTCATTCTCTATTTTAATTGCATTATTTTCCGGGTGTGTTTTTACAACACTTGTCTTTGTAAATGTTTGTTTTATCTTAACTCATGTGAAGTACCTTGAACCTTGTGATATGAAAGGTGCTACTTGAAGACTTATATAATGAACCCTTTCCCGTTCCGAGACCATTGCAAGTTGCAGGATGGAGTCTCATTCACCGCTGAATCTCCGAAAGTGCAAGCAGCTCCGCGTTCATTTTATTTAGAGAGGCGTAGCGCTGCTGTTTTTAAAGACATTGTACTCACCACAGAGAAATGGGATCAAAGTTGCTCATAATCCTAAACGATGGGAATGGAATCTTGGAGTGATAGTAAACCTTTACACTACAATACCTTCAATCTGTTATGTTATCCTTGAATAACAAAATACATCTCGGTGCCTACAAATCATACAATAGCATTTAATTCGACGAATTTATTTCATGCAAATGTATGACCATAGCCCGCACTGGCTTTCAGAACACTGTACAGTCTATACAACTTTAGAATTAGAATCTTTATCCTGGAGATAAACTTGTAATACATACTGAAAACTGTGAACTTGTCGTGATGCACCCTTCTCACGGTGGTTAAACAATGTCATGATTCTGAATCACAAGCCGATTCAGAATCATATTTCCGTCTTAAATTTGACCATCTCACTTGTTCCATATGTTTTGCTTTCTCCTCATTTTCATTCGCTTCATTTGTACATTTACACTTTGTTTACACTTCCACTTTCACCAATTAAATAACACTGTCACTTTAAATGGAGAAATATTCAAGGGCCAACATTGCCCTTCTTCCTAGCACATGAATCATTCCTTTTTGTTGTCTCAAGTGCCCAAAACGTCTCCTACTATTATTATTTTCCTTTTAAGGCCACTTTCTTGACAAAGGCATTGATTTTTTTTGTGGTTATTTGCACTTGTGCACCACTGCCAGTACAGCAGCAACAGTAGTGCTGCGTTACCAACTCATTTGTCCTGCAATCAATACCCGATCCAAACCGTGACGGATCACCCGTGACCTTCATCAAATAGAAAGTCACAATATTTGTTCCCGTGCAGCGTGAACATTGGGTAGTGCACGACGCACCTTCTTGACGAGCCCCTTGCTATCGTAGCGCTGCACCACGGGCTCCGTCGCCTCATAGTACGTCTGCAGTCGTGCCTTGAACGTCTCAGCCTTGTCGTCGGCCCGGCCGCTCGTCTTGGCGCGATTCATCAGCCTCTCCATCATCGTCTCCGACGACGCGTTGATGTAGAGCACCAACTTGGGAATGGCGATCTGTGTGCGAGCAGATCGCCATCGAATGTTACCCTCAGTGCCACGGTGAGTGGGAAAGTGCCCTCTCCACGGTGGTGAGATGTTAACTACCTCCCCTGCTGTATATTTGGAGTTGGTGTGTACGTCTCCCCAGTGAACGCGTGGATTTGTCTCCTGGTCCTCTGGAGAAAAATCATTGATGTTTATTTTACCAGTTAACGCCCACTGAGCTAGATAGCTCTTTTTCAGAAGCGACTTGGCCACAAATTCACAGCTCAACGAAGTGGCTTATCACGTGGAGATTTATAACAGCCAAATACTCTAAATGGATGTTGATTCTAAATGTGTAAGAAAAATCGGAGGACCCGGAGAAAAATCCACGTGATCACAGGGAGAGATACACGCAAACTTCATATGTACAGGCATCATGGTCACGATCAAACCCACGACCTCCAGTACATTAGGCGAGGTAGTTCATATCTTAACTTCGTATTCTTGGTTCTTTCGGTAAAGCCACGTAGATAGAAAATACAATAAAAATAATGAAGTAAAATTAAAAATAAACTAAAAATAGGTTCTTTCGGTGACTTTACCGAAAGAACCTACAATATGAATTCCTGCAGTCACGAAAGTTTTAAGTCAAAATCTTAACTTCGGTGAATAGCAAGAGTTTGACATCGGGCATGAGTGGTGGTAAAACAGTAAACGGAACGAACTGAATAGACAAAGAGGGCCCCCCCCCCAAAATGTAACAGCACCAGGGCCCCCCAGGAAACTGAACCCGGCCGTGACGACGCCACTGACCTTTTTCTCGAACGCCTCGGCCTGGCTGAGCTCTCGGGGGTATCCGTCGATGAGGAAGCCCTTCGCCGAATCCACCTTGAAGAGCATGGCGTCCTTCAGCATCTGCAGAACTGTCTCCTGCAGAGCAATGTCAGTTTAGGCCGAGTCAGTCAACCAGGCAAGATTAAGATATAAAATTGGCACCGGTAGTGTGCATCACAGTGGGGGGGGGGGGGGGTCAAAACGGCATACCTGTCAACCCATATTCTTGGACAGGAAATTTTTGTTTTCAGCTCCATACAGCATACAGCCGTTTCAATACGGGCAAAAAAATGTCTATTTGTTTGTGTGTCTCCCTTGTAGGATGGACGTTGAGATTTATAAGGGCAAGGGGTGACCAATAAGGTCTGAATTTGTCTGTGATAAGGTAGGGCACTAATAAGGGGTTGACAGGTATGCAGCGGGCGTTCATCACTGCCGACACCGCTCCACACAATGTCAGGGCTGTGTGTCTTTTTAGTTTTTTTGAAGAGGGAGAAAAAAACCGACGAACATTTCTGTACGAACTGATGTAAGATTTTCACAATGCCGCAACCGAACCGTCAGTTAAGGAAGGAACAGCGGAGCAGAGTGGGGGGGTGGAGGCAGGAAGCGGGAAAACTCAACGCCCCAGGAGAGCGCACGGCTCATGAAACCGCGAATCTGATCGCTTTGCGGTCATGCACACGTGGCACAAGAGAGAACGAGAAGGAGAGAGGAAGAGCGTTCTCGTGCACAGACTCGCTCAGACAGTGGGAGGAGATGATACGTGGAGATGATACGTGAGATGGTATTTAGAGATGGTACGTGGAGATATTAGGTAGAAATTGCCAGTTTGCCCCAGGCCTCACACAAAAGAAGATCCCACAAAGGGCAATATTTTTTTTTTCCTCTCTCCCCTCCTTCCCCCTTCCCCATGCCTCCGGTCCCAGAACTTAAGAACCTCTGGCCGCAGCCCTACAATGGCAACCCCCTACCCACACCCCCTCCCCCGGATATGTGCGTGTCTCATGTGTGTGTTTTGTGTGTGTGTGTGTCTCGTGAGTGTGTGTCTCGTGAGTGTGTGTCTCTTGTGTGTGTCTCGTGTGTGTGTGTCTCGTCTGTGTGTGTCTCGTGTGTGTGTGTCTAGTGTGTGTGTCTCGTGTGTGTGTGTCTCGTGTGTGTGTGTCTCGTGTGTGTGTGTCTCGTGTGTGTGTTTTGTGTGTGTGTCTCGTGTGTGTGTGTCTCGTGTGTGTGTGTGTGTCTCGTGTGTGTGTGTCTCGTGTGTGTGTGTCCCGTGTGTGTGTGTCTCGCGTGTGTGTGTCTCGTGTGTGTGTGTCTAGTGTGGGTGTGTCTTGTGTGTGTGTGTGTGTCTCGTGTGTGTGTGTCTCGCGTGTGTGTGTCTCGTGTTTGTGTGTCTCGTCTGTGTGTGTCTCGTGTGTGTGTGTCTAGTGTGTGTGTCTCGTGTGTGTGTGTCTCGTGTGTGTGTGTCTCGTGTGTGTGTGTCTCGTGTGTGTGTTTTGTGTGTGTGTCTCGTGTGTGTGTGTCTCGTGTGTGTGTGTCTCGTGTGTGTGTGTCTCGTGTGTGTGTGTCCCGTGTGTGTGTGTCTCGCGTGTGTGTGTCTCGTGTGTGTGTGTCTAGTGTGGGTGTGTCTTGTGTGTGTGTGTGTGTCTCGTGTGTGTGTGTCTCGCGTGTGTGTGTCTCGTGTTTGTGTGTGTGTCTAGTGTGTGTGTGTCTTGTGTGTGTGTGTGTCTCGTGTGTGTGTGTCTCGCGTGTGTGTGTCTCGCGTGTGTGTGTCTCGCGTGTGTGTGTCTCGCGTGTGTGTGTCTGTGTGTGTGTGTGTCTCGCGTGTGTGTGTCTCGCGTGTGTGTGTCTCGCGTGTGTGTGTCACGTGTGTGTGGATGTCTCGTGTGTGTATGTCACGTGTGTGTGTCTCGTGTGTGTGTGTCTCGCGTGTGTGTGTCTCGTGTGTGTGTGTGTTTTGTGTGTGTGTGTCCCGTGTGTGTGTGTCTCGCGTGTGTGTGTCTAGTGTGTGTGTGTCTGTGTGTGTGTCTCGTGTGTGTGTGTCTGTGTGTGTGTGTCTCGTGTGTGTGTATCTCGTGTGTGTGTGTCTCGCATGTGTGTCTCGTGTGTGTGTGTGTATCGCGTGTGTGTGTGTCTCGTGCGTGTGTTTGTGTCTTGTGTGTGTCTCGTGTGTGTGTGTCTGTGTGTGTGTCTCGTGTGTGTGTGTCTCGTGTGTGTGTGTGTGTCTCGTGTGTGTGTGTGTCTCGTGTGTGTGTGTGTCTCGTATGTGTGTGTCTCGTGTGTGTGTGTGTCTAGTGTGTGGGTGTATGTCTCGTGCGTGTGTGTGTGTCTTGTGTGTGTGTCTCGTGTGTGTGTGTCTCTTGTGTGTGTGTCTCGTGTGTGTGTGTCTAGTGTGTGTGTGTGTCTAGTGTGTGTGTGTGTGTCTGTGTGTGTGTCTCGTGTGTGTGTATGTGTGTGTGTATCATCTCCCCTGTAGTTGTTACATACTGTAAGAACTACAGAGGCATCTCACTCCTCAGTGTGCCGGGAAAGGTCCTGGCAAGGATTATTCAGCATCGCCTTGCCAGGCACGCTGAGGAGAGGCTTGCGGAGCCCCAATGCGGTTTCAGGAAAGGGCGGTCCTGCACAGATGCCATATTTTCTGTCCGTCTGCTACAGCAGAGGTGTAGGGAATTCCAACAAGACCTACATCTCTGCTTTATTGACCTGGTCAAGGCCTATGATACCATCAGTAGGCCTGGGCTCTGGGTCGTTCTAGGTGCTTTTGGAGTACCTGACCCTCTGCTCACGATCATTAAGGACCTTCATGATGGTGAGCGGGCCCGGGTAAAACTACGTGGCCGGGAGTCAGAGCCATTCCCTGTACACCTTGGGGTGCGACAGGGATGTCCTCTGGCTCCCACATTATTTAACATCTATTTTGACCACGTAGTTCGTGAAGCCTTCAATAGCTGTACCGGGGGAATCTCCATATGGTACAGATATAATGGGAGGCTAATCGATGCCCGGGTGCGGTCAAGGGATGGCTCCCTATTGCTCAACCACGTTATGTATGCTGATGATTTGGTAATAGCTGCTCAGTCAGAGGAGGAGTTGGAGACGCTGCTGCTGAGACTGGAGCGTGCCACTAAGAGGTGGGGCCTTACCATCAGCCCCACCAAAACTAAGCACCTGCCTGGGTATTTTGTACCATCGGACACTCCACCCCCACAACTCCCAATCGGTGATGGGGCAGTTGTGGAGAGAGTAGAGAGTTTCCCATACCTGGGCAGTGTGCTTATGACTGGCTCCAGTTTAACAGCAGAGGTCTCACTCCGAAGCAGTCGAGCGGAAATATCTTTTCATCGGTTGCGTAACGCTATGTGGAAGCTACCTGGTCTGTCGCTCCGCACTAAGCTTCAGGTCTTCTCGGCCACGGTCATTCCCTCCCTTCTCTACGCTTGCGAAACGTGGACCCCCCTAATGGAACATCTTCGCCGGTTAGAAACATTTAGGCTGGCCTGCCTACGATCCATCCTGGGTTTTACCAGACTGGATTGTGTGAGGAGCTCACAAATCCTTGAAAGATCTGGGCAGGGTCCCATCGGTGAGCTCCTCCGGCAGGCAAGGCTGCGATGGCTGGGTCATGTAGCCCGCATGCCCAGCCACCGCATGCCGAAACAGCTTTTGTTTGGCCGGATTGAGGGGGCTAAGCGGGCGCGGCACGGGCTAGAGAAGAGATGGAATGATGTGGTACAGGAGGACGTGGAGCTGAGTGGACTTGCCGATGACTGGTACCAGCGGTGTCAAGATCGGCCTCTGTGGAGGAGGCTCGTGAAGGATGCTACTGGGCAGTTGGAGGCAGTCACCCTCCAACAACAACGGAGGGCGGAGGAGCGACGCTCAGAACAACGAGCGGAGCGCCGGGTGGCTAAAGCACAGCAGGTTGGCACAGTAGGGGGCACAGGTGGTGCATCAGCCAGTCATCTCAGTCAGTCGACCCGTGGCACCTGGGTCTGCCCAGTGACCTCCTGCCAGCGGGCGTTCGACACTTCACGTGGCCTCACGGTGCACATAGCCTGGCACAAGCGTCGTGGTGACGTCACCGCCACTTAGTGGCGAATGGCGGTTGTTGTTGTTGTGTGTGTCTCTTGTGTGTATCTCGTGTGTGTGTGTCTCGTGTGTGTGTGTGTGTCTCGTGTGTGTGTGTCCCGTGTGTGTGTGTGTGTCTAGTGTGTGTCTGTGTGTGTGTGCCTGTGTGTGTGTCTGTGTGTCCCGTGTGTGTGTGTCCCGTGTGTCTGTGTCTCGTGTGTGTGTCTGTGTGTGTGTGTGTGTCTCGCGTGTGTGTGTGTGTCTGTGTGTGTGTCTGTGTCTGTGTGTGTGTCTGTGTGTGTGTGTGTGTCTGTGTGTGTGTGTCTGTGTGTGTGTCTCGTGTGTCTGTGTGTGTCTGTGTGTGTGTGTGTCTGTGTGTGTGTCTCGTGTGTGTCTGTGTGTGTGTCTGTGTCTCGTGTGTGTGTCTGTGTGTGTGTGTGTCTGTGTGTCTGTGTCTGTGTGTGTCTGTGTGTGTGTCTGTGTGTGTGTGTCTGTGTGTCTGTGTCTTGTGTGTGTGTGTCTCGCACCATGGGCACGAGCTCGCCACGGGACATGATGGCGTTGAGGCGCTGGCCGCGTTCCGTCCCGGACGTCACCTCCGCGCGGAGCAGGTCGCCCGTGGATAGGTGCGTGAAGCCATACTTCCCCACGATGCGCTCGCACTGCGTGCCCTTTCCCGAGCCGGGCCCGCCTATGAGAGGGGTGAGGTGCAACACGTTTCAGCCTAGTCTCTTTTACTCTTTGTGACAATAACACAGGAGGTTTTAAAATTGTTCAAACACCAAATAGCCAACACATATTGCAAGGCTCAGGTTCTGCATTAACCACACACGCTTGGGGCAAGACATGCAGAACACACGTGCTCTGGTAATATGTGTGTTGTCTTTGAAACTGATAAGCCTACACGAGAGACATCCTTCTGTATGGCCCGGTCTCACCAACGGCAAAGGCGAACAGTACAAAGGCAATGCAAGTATCAAAGGTGTTAATAGTTCTTGTTGTGCAGTTATATCTATGAGAACGTTTTGCCAGTACCAAAATGATGAAAATTACAAATAAGTTTTACCCTTTCTGGGAATAAAACAGGCTTGTTATTATCTTGACAACATGGACTTTCATCCAGCAGTGGATATCACGTGGCTAATGATGATAACTTCACCATCACAGCCCCGGGGTTATAGGCCAACTGCACAGCCGCTCCACCCCCTCGGGTGCGCGAGTCAACTCGGTATATTTAATTATTTACCAATATTCTGACAAAAAATCGTGAAAGAAAAAAAACATCCAACTTACCCACAACAAACACGATCTTGCTTTTCTTCAGCTTGTTATCTGCAATTAAATAATATTCCGTTTAAAATGATGATTGTAAAATAATGTTGTTAATAATATAATTTATAATACAAACATTTCACAGAGCCCGTTATAGGGATAATCTTGATGGCAAAAAACAATATTTATACTTTTGATTTAAAGCTTTCGTGACTGCAGTAATTCATATTCTTAGTTTTTTCGGTAAAGTCACGTTGAAGAGAAACAACAAAATAACAAAATATATATAAAACAATAAAAAAATTCTCACGACGTTTCGACCATAACTCAAACGGTCATCATCAGGTGTGTCGGTTTGCATAAATTTATTTTGAAAACGGCATATTTATTTATATATATATAAATAACGTTTGCGTCACGCGCAACGATTGGCTGTTTGCCAGGACTAGTCCATCTATTTTTTGAAAAGAGGAGGGGGGAGACGAAATTTGTTTTTATGTATGCTGTCTGAAAGGCACTGTAAGCGTGAACAATCAATCAAGAACTGAAATGATTTATCAAATCTTTCCAATGATTGCTAAGATAGAATCCATCTTCTCGGTTGAAATTGTCTCTGTGTTTGTATATGTGGATAGCCTCATGAACGAATCTCTCATGGAAGCCAGATGGCTTACAAAGAACCTCCGTCTTGGAAAAGTCAATGGCATGTGAGCCTACTGAATTAGAACAATGATCTGCTACGGCCGAGGTGTTGGTCCTACCGTGTTTAAGGTCTGCTTTATGTTCACGAATGCGGTCCGAGATATGGCGTTTGGTTTCTCCAATGTAACTACTACCACAGAGGCAACTTAGTTTGTAGACACCAGGGTATTGTATGTCCGGAATCACATCTTTTACAGACGGAACCAGATCACGGATTTTATGTAATGTGTTGAAACGGACCTGGATCTTGTGTTTATTCAAGATTTTGGAGATCTTTTTTGTGATCCCAGCAATGTAGGGTAAAGTGATGGTTTTGAAATGATCCTCAAGAGGGTTCTTCTTCATGGTTTGAGTGATAGCTTTGCGGATTGTATAGTCGGAGTAACCATTAGCCCTAAGAGCCTGGTGTACGTGCTTGAGTTCACTGCTTATGTGTTCCTGGTCGGATATGCATTGGGCTCTATGATACAGAGTCTTGATGAGAGAATTCTTCTGTGATGGATGGTGGTGGGAATCCGGTTTCAGATAAGCATCCGTATGGGTAGCTTTCCTGTAGACAGAGTGGCTCATTGAACCATCAGGTCTCTTTTTAATTAGGACATCCAAAAAAGGTATCTTGCCATCTATTTCGACTTCCATGGTAAATCTGATGGCTGGGTGTATGGAATTGATGTGGTCGAAGAATTGGTCTAGAGCAGGCCGGCCATGTGGCCAGATGACAAAAGTGTCATCCACGTACCTCTTCCACAAGGTTGGGCGTAGAGTGGCAGTCTGGATGGCGTCAGTCTCAAATTTCTCCATGAAAATGTTAGCTATAACTGGAGAAAGGGGGGAGCCCATTGGGGTGCCCTCAGTTTGTTTGTAGAAAGTTCCATTCCAAGTGAAGTATGTATTGGTTAAACAGTGTCTCACCAGGGGGGGTACCTCAGCGTTTAGTCCTTGATGAACCAAGTCTTCAATGATTGCAATGGTGTCAGGTACAGGAACCTTGGTGAACAAGGAAACTACATCAAAACTGACAAGCAGGTCGTCTGGGGACAGGGAAATACCCTTGATTGTTGATACCAGGTGAGTAGAATTTTGTACCGCAGAGGTGGTCTTTCCACTGAAAGGACGCAGGATTTCAGACAAAAAACGAGCTAGTTTGTAGGTGGGGGAGCTGATAGTAGAGACTATGGGACGAAGAGGTGTATCAACTTTATGTATTTTTGGTAAGCCGTATAATCTTGGTGGCCTGGCAGCAGAAGGTTTCAACGAAAACCGTTTAGATTGATCAATTAATGCGGTTGAATCAGAAATTATTTTGTTGGTTTGTGTGACGAGGCTGTTGGTGGGATCTCTTTTTATTTTTGTATAACTACCATCGTCGAGTAATTCTTTAATTTTGTTGTTGTATTCTATTTTATCCATAATAACAGTAGCATTGCCTTTGTCAGCTGAGAGAACTACAATATCATTCCTCTTTTTTAATTTATATAATTCAAAACGCTCATCTTTGCTGAGGTTGCTAGCTGGCATCTTAGCGTTTTTGAGGGTTGCAGCGATTTCAGATCTTGCTACGTCTGCAGCGATGTGACCCAGGCCCCTGAGAGCAACGTCTACTTGGGCAATTATATCATTAACTGGTATGTGTTTAGGTGTGACTGCAAAGTTTAGACCTTTAGCTAAAACGGATTTCAGACCATCGGATGCCAGCTAGCAACCTCAGCAAAGATGAGCGTTTTGAATTATATAAATTAAAAAAGAGGAATGATATTGTAGTTCTCTCAGCTGACAAAGGCAATGCTACTGTTATTATGGATAAAATAGAATACAACAACAAAATTAAAGAATTACTCGACGATGGTAGTTATACAAAAATAAAAAGAGATCCCACCAACAGCCTCGTCACACAAACCAACAAAATAATTTCTGATTCAACCGCATTAATTGATCAATCTAAACGGTTTTCGTTGAAACCTTCTGCTGCCAGGCCACCAAGATTATACGGCTTACCAAAAATACATAAAGTTGATACACCTCTTCGTCCCATAGTCTCTACTATCAGCTCCCCCACCTACAAACTAGCTCGTTTTTTGTCTGAAATCCTGCGTCCTTTCAGTGGAAAGACCACCTCTGCGGTACAAAATTCTACTCACCTGGTATCAACAATCAAGGGTATTTCCCTGTCCCCAGACGACCTGCTTGTCAGTTTTGATGTAGTTTCCTTGTTCACCAAGGTTCCTGTACCTGACACCATTGCAATCATTGAAGACTTGGTTCATCAAGGACTAAACGCTGAGGTACCCCCCCTGGTGAGACACTGTTTAACCAATACATACTTCACTTGGAATGGAACTTTCTACAAACAAACTGAGGGCACCCCAATGGGCTCCCCCCTTTCTCCAGTTATAGCTAACATTTTCATGGAGAAATTTGAGACTGACGCCATCCAGACTGCCACTCTACGCCCAACCTTGTGGAAGAGGTACGTGGATGACACTTTTGTCATCTGGCCACATGGCCGGCCTGCTCTAGACCAATTCTTCGACCACATCAATTCCATACACCCAGCCATCAGATTTACCATGGAAGTCGAAATAGATGGCAAGATACCTTTTTTGGATGTCCTAATTAAAAAGAGACCTGATGGTTCAATGAGCCACTCTGTCTACAGGAAAGCTACCCATACGGATGCTTATCTGAAACCGGATTCCCACCACCATCCATCACAGAAGAATTCTCTCATCAAGACTCTGTATCATAGAGCCCAATGCATATCCGACCAGGAACACATAAGCAGTGAACTCAAGCACGTACACCAGGCTCTTAGGGCTAATGGTTACTCCGACTATACAATCCGCAAAGCTATCACTCAAACCATGAAGAAGAACCCTCTTGAGGATCCTTTCAAAACCATCACTTTACCCTACATTGCTGGGATCACAAAAAAGATCTCCAAAATCTTGAATAAACACAAGATCCAGGTCCGTTTCAACACATTACATAAAATCCGTGATCTGGTTCCGTCTGTAAAAGATGTGATTCCGGACATACAATACCCTGGTGTCTACAAACTAAGTTGCCTCTGTGGTAGTAGTTACATTGGAGAAACCAAACGCCATATCTCGGACCGCATTCGTGAACATAAAGCAGACCTTAAACACGGTAGGACCAACACCTCGGCCGTAGCAGATCATTGTTCTAATTCAGTAGGCTCACATGCCATTGACTTTTCCAAGACGGAGGTTCTTTGTAAGCCATCTGGCTTCCATGAGAGATTCGTTCATGAGGCTATCCACATATACAAACACAGAGACAATTTCAACCGAGAAGATGGATTCTATCTTAGCAATCATTGGAAAGATTTGATAAATCATTTCAGTTCTTGATTGATTGTTCACGCTTACAGTGCCTTTCAGACAGCATACATAAAAACAAATTTCGTCTCCCCCCTCCTCTTTTCAAAAAATAGATGGACTAGTCCTGGCAAACAGCCAATCGTTGCGCGTGACGCAAACGTTATTTTTATATATATAAATAAATATGCCGTTTTCAAAATAAATTTATGCAAACCGACACACCTGATGATGACCGTTTGAGTTATGGTCGAAACGTCGTGAGAATTTTTTTTATTTTTTTATATATATTTTGTTATTTTGTTGTTTCTCTTCAACGTGACTTTACCGAAAAAACTAAGAATATGAATATTTATACTGTAATGCAGGCAGCAGAACATCAAGTAGGTTGCTATTTGTGCAGAGCTAAGGGCGTTCTTGTGCGCACGTTTGTCCTCTGGGAAAACCCGAGTTTCCACAAATTGGGCTCATGTCTCAAACAGGATCCTCCCGAAAACAAACAAAAAATCTTCACAGTCTTAGAGGCAATCTAGATTTGAAGTTTTCGTGACTGCAGGGATCCATACTCTTTGGTTCTTTCGGTAAAGTCACGTAGGTATAAAATAGCCGCCTCTAAAAGTCTTAAAGGCGTTTATAATTTGCAGACAAATGTTTATTGTGTTCATTTAATCAGCAGTTTATATTTTAGTCTTAGTTTATTCGACATCAACTTGTTGTGAAACATTTATCAAGTCTCAGGGTCATATTTTTTCGAGGTAGGGCCTCTGGAGCGGCCAGGCGTTAGCAACCAACACAACAAGAGCAGACTTTTTTTTAGGAATTCGGTAAAAAAAAACCCTCAATCGATCAAGAGCCGCAATGCAGTGGGAATAACATCACGAAGCGGTCCTTAAAGAACCACACGTAGCTCCGGAGCGGCATCGCTCAGCTCAGGCTCAACCCGCTCGGCCGCTTCCTTCGAGCCACGAGAACAGCGACTTCGCCGTGGCTCGGCGCTCGCTTGGCTCAGCAGAAGCCTGAGCGTGGTGGATAGGGCCACGCTCATAGCCGGCTCAAGTTAAGCGTGGCTTTGAGCTAGCTCGCTTGAGCTGACAGCCAAACCCTCTGTGTGTGTGGATTTAATTTAGTTCCCTTAGTAAGGTCGACGAAATAAATAATTGATGTAGCCCCACCCTTAGTTGTTTAATGGTTCTGGAAAGGGCGCACAATAATCCCCATCCTACCAAAAATTACACTTTCCCAACTAATTACTGTCATCACTAGTTTCATGAACAAAATACACACAGGATGACAACACTGTTAGGTGCTGGTGGGATTCGTCGGCCAAAACTTTTACGACCAGCATCATTATCTGGCGACCAGATCAGCTAGTGTCCAGGCCTGCTGCCCAAGTTCTACAAAGTTTACAAAGAGACAGCCGAAGCCAATAACCATTCACCTCGCACTGAATCGCTGCCACCGGCGCTTGAGATCGCTGCAGACTTTGAATTCCCGCACCCCATCGCCCACTGTAATTCTCTCCAAGTAAGTTTACTTAGAAACTTTCACTCTGCACGGGCCACTCTTGAGACCTAACCCCAGCTGTAACGTTGTCACGGTGGTAACTGTCAGTAAACATTTATTGCCTAGCAATGGGATAGTCCACTTCCAACGTTTAGTTGGGGGGGGGGGGCAAAGGAAACCTGGTGGGTTACAGAGGCCAAGAACATGGACTTTACCATTATATTTACCGACAAGCAGACTTTAAACACAATTAATTGATATTAGTTTGTTTCAGGAGGTAAAGATGTAGCCCTGCAATTACTTCCACACGCCACTGCTGGCAGACGGGTCTCCACTAGAGGGAGCTCGTGCAGGGAGCCCTCAAGAGGTCACACTCAGGACACACAAAGTGCTTGCCACATGAACCACAATACCATGCTGATTTCGTCAAGAAGCAGAAATCATCACGCGAACGCTGATCATTATCCTCGCAGCAGCAGCGGATTTTGGCTGGCCATCGAACAATGACGGTCATTGCATCTCACTTTCAGATGCTCGTCTGCGGCCGTCTGGAACGCACTTCCTTCCAATATTATGAAGCCACTGGAGCTATGCACTTTTAAACCTGGATTAAAAACCAATTTCTTTCGAACTAATTTTTGTGGTTAGTTTATTGTCCTACCCCTGCACCTCCGATTACCACAGTTTTCTACGTCCGCTGTGATAGTGGTTCAACATACATACAAGAGGGCATTGTTTTACCTCCTCTTCCACGCTGGTCAGACATCTTGGAAGAGATGGAAATACCCACATTTTACCCCACCCTACAACCTGTCGATTGACTAACTCTGGAGACACCCATGTATACTGCTGCTCGGTGTACAGAGGCGGGGGAGAGGATGTAACCATGGTTTCCACTGCTGGCCAAGAGACGGAATTGAAATGGCGATCTCTGGATTGCAAGTCCAGTGTGTACTGATCATTACACCAGGCAGTAGATGAACTGTTAATTAAACTGTGACCTCTGGATTTGTTGGTTTAGTGCCTGAGATGATTGATCAGCCACACCAGTTTGTAGGTGAAGGGTTGGTAGTATTTAAGGTGCTTATCTGTACAGCTGCAATGGAACTGGCCAGTATCAATACACTCCTAAACGCCTCTGCGCAATATTTCTCACATGCCCTAGTTTAAACCTTTGCGCATTTGGTTTGGATACCTTTACACGCACAGGTAGAGTCGATCATTTTATTACGATGCTTGACCACATGGGATTCATGAACCAAGTACACTGCTGGTCAGGGCCTTCCCAAGCTGTGCGAGTTGAGGGTTACTTCACCATACTTCACCATGCTGGTCAGTGTGGGTTGATAATGGTGGGGAGCATATATGTATGTATGTTTAACTTATTTGGCACCATACATAGCCAACCGTGCTAATCGGAGGTGCGGGGAAGGACAGTAAACTAAAAACAAAAAGCAGTTCTAAAGAAATGAGTTTTTAATCTACGTGGGTGAGCATTGAAGTACAGCGCCACGATGGATTTTGCTGTACTACACACCGCTGCCCCACTGCAGCCCAGTAAATGTGCAACGTTGGATCAACGTTCCGTTTTTACTGGGAACCTATAACATGCATTATGCATGGTGTGGGTTATCCATCCAAGCACTATCCAGCCTCAAGCCTGCTTAGCTTCACGGGATCTGATGAGATCAGGTGCATTGTGGGTGATGTGGCTGAACGCCTGTACCCATAGGGCACCCAGAAGGGGACAGAAGGTAAAGCTGTCCTCAACTGCTGTGCTTCTCCCACACCGCCGATTAGCACGGTTGACTAACGTACGGTGCAAAAGAAGTCCAACAGCATGCATGGACCTGCCTCCTTGTACCCCCAAAAATATAATAGAAAAGATCACTTACTTTATAAATAATTAATACTTATTAACACCTCCAACATTTTTCATCTGGGTGCGCCACTGCCTGTAACTATGTGTAATACAATCTTCTTGGTACGCCTGCGCCTATTAGAAAGCTCCTGGGAATTATGCACTTTTAAATCGAGATTGAAAACTCATTTTTTCAGAACTGCGATTTGTGTTTACTGTAGTTTGTTGTCCTTTGTCGCACCGCCGATTCAACATACATACGTACAATCGTGCAATGGGAGTGTTTGTAATGCACACTGTGACAGATATTTACAGTTGTCTATCAGTTGTCTATCACCACGCTTGTCCATCACCGTCTCACTGCTGCTGGCTCTCAGGCGGTCTGTCACATTTGCTCATGGTGACTGAAGACAAGAGGCTCACAATGGCACTTCTCCATGAACTGCTGCTGGCTTTTTGCATAATGCACTGTGTGCTTTCTACACATTTTTTGTGTGTTGTTGGAAACTTAACAGCAATTTTATGCTGGCCGGCATTGTGGGAAATACCCGCAATTCCGTGAAACTTCAACCACCCTGTGCCCGGGGCATGTACACGTCCGCAGTGATCCACGTGTTTTGCACTAAAAGGTAGAAAAGCGTAAAAGAACCCCTCTGAAAGTGAAACAGCAAAACCAACTGTGGTGGCGTCGTACCTGAAGAATCCATGCCTCCCCTGTCAAAGGACGCCCGGCGAACCTAGAGCATGGAGAGCGGCACACGGACGGACACGCGAGGGTTAACGATTGCCCCTTAGACCGAGTTTTGGTGAGAACTCCACAGCGTTGCCTCATCGATTGCTAACGGCAGGTGCTTATCAACAGTAGACTTAAGATGAACGATTGTGCAACTGTGTTACTGAATTGGGTCCGCACTTAGTTGATCCTTTTAAAATCTACACATTTGGTGAGACTGCTTGCGTTGGCAGTGGCGTTTTTGACAAAAACAACCTGGACAGACGAGTCAATAACACTATGGCCTTAACAGAGAAAATAGTACATACAGAAATATTTGACGTTCTTCATTGCAAACAGGAATGTTATTGACGAATGTGTTGAGTTATCTTTAAAATCTACAGTATGCTCTATGGGTTAGTACTCTCCAACTAGATACATACAGTACTGTACCCTGATGTGGATTCCAAGAATATAAATTACCGTTATTGAAATGTAATTGTATGACATTACTATTCTGCTGGGTGCAATACGTACTCATTTCACTAAGCCACTTAAATGTTTATTTTAAAACATTCTGCCCGAACAAACATCCTTAAGACATGAAAGCTGTTTTAAATTAACACTTTATTTTTGTTTGATGGATTTTTAGACCAACTAGTGTTGGTCATAGCTTACGTAAACATCTTACGTTCACATTACTTGATTGCGCCGCATATAGGGAGTCAAACAAAGGGGCCTTTTGAGTAACGTTAATCACAAAATCTCCATTGGGCTGGCACTGCAGAGCCTGGTAAAACTAAAAACCACACACCAGGCACGGACTCCAGTGCATATTTAAAATAAGAATGATACAATAAAGTGTTAAAGAGAGCACGCTGCAGTATAAAACCCCGACAGATGTCTGGGTTAACACATCAAGACAGAGACTGAAAACCAGTTTAGTCGAGATGACGGAATAATAGGGTTTTTCCCCTTTTTATGGCAACAAAACTGAAACCTTTTTACAAGGATTCATGTTGCTGCATTAACCACAATACCTGCAGTCTTGACATGAATCCTTGTAAAAAGGTTTCAGTTTTGTTGCCAGAAAAAAGGGTAAAAACCCTATTATTACATTTTGGTACTGGCAAAGGAGGTCTAATGATCGAGATGACGGAGCCACCACACCCGTGCCTGTAGGCGCACCGTCTCTGGCTCTGGTGGCACTGCATGTGACAATAAGCGCCTCTTTGTTCAAAACTTCAACTCCGACTCTTGTGTCGGACTTAATTAGACACGTCCGTCTCAACAACATAAATCTTTGCTCAGTTGTATTTGCACGATCAAACAGCGCACAAAGCTCCACTGATAAACGCTCGCAAAAGCCACTTAAATACTAACCAAGTTCGCATTCGTACGGATTAATGTTGAGCTTCTTTTGCACCGTACGTATCCAACCGTGCTAATCGGTGGTGCTGGGGGGGGAGGTCACCAAACTGAAAACAAAAAGCAGTTCTAAAGAAATTCGTTTTCAATCTAGATGATTTTAAAGTGCATAGCTCTCAGTGAATTCCTAATATCGGAAGAACATTCCAGACGGTCGCGGAAGCGCATCTGCAAATGCGCAATTCAGTGACCGTCTTTGTCCGGTGGCCAGTCAAAAACACAATCGGGCACAACAGATACTGACCGGCCACTGACGATGGGTCGCTTTCTGCAGCTGGCGCGCAATGCGTTCGTGCAACTGAACACGTCTGTGCTGCGACTGTCACTTTCTGCTGCAGCGACGGCTCCAAGTGCTGTAACTTCTTCGCCGTTCCCCCCCTTGCCACTGAATTCCGGCTAAGGGCGTTTCCTCTCTTGCGAGCGCAGGCTGACGTCACAATCTCGCTTTTTTTGTTGTTGCAAATTGGGGCAGTGTGGGAATGCGAATCTCTGTGACCGCGCGTGGAACAGGGCGTGTGGGCTGGGCGTGTGTGTGCGCGACACAGAGAGACAGACAGCGCGTGTCTGTCTGTGTGTGTGTGCACGTGTGTGTTGTGTTGGGGAGCGGTGGTGTAGCGCTGAGTACGCTACGCTGCGCTACGAACCCGGCGACGCAAGTTCGATTCCTGCTTACGGTCAACATCGGTGACGATTATCTGAATCGATCCTGGGCCTCGCCTAGGTCGACTCAGCCAAAGGTGGTCGAGTGTGGTGCTGGCCACCCACCCCCTCAAGTGCTGTGCCGGCCTTCATAGGTGCTCGTGAACAGCACTTGCCCCTACAATCTGTTAAAGGCTATACGAGCTTGAGGGGGGGGTGTTTGCCTGTGTAAGTGTTTGGCAGTGGATGATACGATTTTTGGAACATGCAACATGCACGGAGTGTTACGAGACGGTAGTGGCAGTGGTTGGCTGGGTTCTCCTCCTTGCCCAACTCCCCCCTAGTAGCCTGGTGCACGAGTCCCTCTGGCCCGTAAGCACCCACCCCGCCACCTCCTCCCCGTGCAATTGCGCTGATTGCAGCACCCCATAACTAAGGCCACTAGAGAGCGGCGTGGAGGCCTGACTGCTCCCCGTGAGTGGTCATTCAGTTGATACATTGACTCGACATTCCACTCTGTGTTCCGCCGAGGGTTGCCACCTCCAATTCGCACGGTTGGCTACGTACGGTGCAAAAGAAGTTCAACATATGTCCATACAAACCAGGATATATCGTGGGAATAAGAATATCTCCCAATATCGGAAGAGTGACTCGAAGTTAACTACCTCGCCTGGTATACAGGAGTCGTAGGTTCGACCCTGACCCTGACACCTGCTGCTGTTTCTCTCCCCGCGGTCGCTTTGATTTTTCTCCGAGGGCTCCGGTTTTTCCCTCCACATTGAGAAATATGCGTTTAAAGTAGCGACCTGTGGCCAGGTCGCTGTGGCCAGGTCGCTTCTGCAAAAAGAGCTATATAGCTCAGTAGGCTTTACCTGGTAAAATAAAAGGTTTAGTTTAGTTTTCAATGCATTGTCTTGAGCGGTGTATTATTGTATTTTTTGGGCAACTGACAGCAACGAGACTTTAATGTACCAGAACGACTTACAGATTTACCAGGACAGCACTTAGCAGATAAAGAGACCAATGCTGGGAAACATCAGGACAGGTGGGAACCGTAGGGTGAGCTGTGGAAGGCTCACCTGCTGCACGCTGTGTGTTGGGGAGCTGTGCAAGTCACCGCCATCGCCGATCAGACTCAAGTCCAGCTCGCTGGGCCCTGCACAGCACAGAAGACCGGACTGCGTCATCATTGCCAGCATCATCAGCCATGTTCAATCCGCTGCTGGATGAGAGCCTGCCAAAGCCGCCACCATCTCTCAGGATCTTGCAATGGGATAATCCACCTAGGACGTGAAGTAATTGTACTCTGCGCGTGTTCTCTAATCCACGAGTTTCTGTTTCTATATCTCCATACATTACAAGCACTCATATCTTTATGCTTATATGCACAATTTCCAGTTTTTTTTCCAGTTGTATTAATGTTTTTGTTTATGAATCATATGCCATCACAGGTAGTACGTGACGATCAAAACAAATGTTAGCCACATTGGTATGTTACTCTCTCATGTACACGTAGATGTGATTTCAGCAACTACATCATTGTCTCTATTCTGAGATTGGATTGTTCCAGTAGAATTTTAAATTCATGGGAGATTTAGTCTAAAAGTGGAAATAAGTCAGTATGTTTAAAAAATGTAAATGTTCTCCCAATTGTGTTATGGGCACCATGTCAAGAAATTAGAGAAACACCCATTCTGAACTCTCACAGAAAGCAACACTATCATATCAACCATTGTTAGAGAACCCTGGAAGGAGGCATTATAGAACTAATTCTGAGGACCCTTCGATTTACTCGCATCCACCCCGACTCATTAGCCCTGAAAAAGGTTTGCTCGCATGGTGATCAAACCAAAATAAGTTTTAGCCCTCAGGAATTTTGCCAAATTAAATGAATAGCTAAATGTGAATTAAATTATTTTTTCTGCTTCGAGATGAAAGCTTAGTGACGGAAGTTCTGCAAGTCTGTTGGGAAAGAGGGCAAGAAAAATATAAAAATCTGCTTCACGATTTGAAGGAAGGGGAGGGGTGTGTAGAGTAAAATAAATAAGCAAGCTCAAGATGGGATGGAGGGATTTAGAGTCACAGACCTGCCATTTGGCAGTGGAATAAAGAGAGAGTCCGTCATTGGCGATTGGAATGCAGGATCTTCGTGCTGCCAGCTCAGCACTCGCACGTGATAGCAACTCTTTGAGCCACACGACTTCCGCCAATATCACTACAGTATATTTTATGCACAGACTGGAAATACTTGCCACGGCCGTGATTTACAAACGCTGCCTTATAACTAAGAAATAAATACGTGGTTTGAACCTGGTTTAAACAAAAGATAAACAATCAAAGTTTAAATCGACTGAGCCAACTCAGTTGTCTGCTTGTGACCAGGACTTGGTTCGAGGAGCAGTGCACAGCGGCTTCTGGTTCAGTAGAGGGCGCTCTCTTTACGCAGTATCGGGACGTCAGTCGATAGAGGGAGCAGTCGAGTAGCGGTGAAGATACGATGCCGTGTGGATGTACACGGTGCCCAAATGCCGGGAGGTAGCCGTGGGTGGCCCAGAAGTCAGGGCGCTGAGCTGGCTCCAAGGGCGGAGCTAGAAACTTCCCGCGGTTCCATTTATTTCATAGTTTCATAGTTCCATTTACTTGGTATAGCCCTGTGAGCCATTCGGCTCTTGAATCGGGTGCAACCGCAACAAACACAAAATAAAAACATGAACAAGAAAACATCTTAAAGTGACTATGTGACTGTGCAAACAGAAAATCCAGGAAAAAAAACATCAAAATATTCCTGAAATAGCACCGTACACCAACGCTGTGTGCAAAAATCCCAGTGGGATGCAAGTCAAACAACAACAACAACCACAAAACAACTAAGATTAAGGCCATCAGTCTAACTCCGTACTACAATAAACAAAAACATGGCCATCTTCATTAGCAGCGGCATTGACATTGTCATCATCAGTTGTTGCAGTGTCATCAGCGGCATTGACATCACCATCGGCTGTATTAGCATTATCATCATCAACATCATCAGCGTCATTGGGCTTCTGGGGTGGGGGGAGGTCTCCGTCTGCGTCGTTGTATGAATGGGGAGCGGTGGCGCTACGATCCTGAAATTTCAAGCTTTTTTAAAAAGGGCCCCATATTAATAATACAAATAAGAGTATACTGCAACAAAACAACGTTTTAAAAAAAGACCATAAAAGGTAAAAAAACAGCTTATGTTTTTTTACAGTAAATGTCAACAACAAAAAATGTGTTGGGTTTCAAGGGAGGCTTCTGCCTCCATCTCGCTCCCCGCCCCTCCCCCCGCTGCCTTTGGTTCCACAACCGACTGCCACCGCTGTGATCCTGGGCTTGAAGCCTGGCAGACTCCTGTGATGACGACAAGGGGCTCGAAAGTGCAGTCACTTGGTGGTCCCTCCCCGCTCTCTGCCCAGAAACAGTTGGAATATTTGGCTGCTACAAATGTCCACGTGATAAGCCACGTTTGGCGAGATATCACTTGTGGTCAGGTCGCTTCTGAAAAAGAGCTATACAGCTCAGTGGGCCTTACCCGGTAAAATAAAAAAAAAGTTTGAATAGTTTAGTTTTTAATGACTGCACAAAAAAAACATCGAATAATATTTGGTCCCGCATGTAGACAGGGATTAGAGAAAGATGAGAGGAGATAGGTAGGCGAGTGCGTGTCGGGGAGTAGAGTGAGATGAGAGGGGAGAAGAAGAGTGTTTGGAAGGGAGGAGAGTGAGATGAGAGAATAGATCGGGGACGAGTAGTTGGGGGAAGTCTTAGAGGGTGAGTGCCACCTTGTCGTTGAAGCATTGAGAGGTAATGGAGGGGGCTAGGGGGACTGTGACTAGTCCAGTGCTCTTTATGAGGTCAAACTTCTCTGCCTTTCACCTGTGCTCATTCTCTTTCATGCTCAGGGCAGTGCTAGACCAGCCATGTCTGGCCCAGGCATTCCCACGGAATTCAGCCACCCAGGTCACCCTGTGTTACATTATTCATCAGCCACCATGACCGGGCAGAGCCCTAACCTCGTACAACCCACAGCACTGACAGAATGCCTGGGTGAGTCTTGTGAGGATAGCATCTCAACTGCTGGCCCTGAGGTGTTCACACCAGTTCGAAATGCCTCTGGCAAGACTCGATCTGACTGTCTCATCATGTTCTAGCAATGTGCTCCTATTGCACAAGCAGTGTTGGGCAGACGAGCTTTCATTCATGGCGTGTTGCTGCAATCGAATTACAAAAGGGCCAATATAGATATATGGATTAAAATATCGCTAAACATGTGAAGGATGGCGATGAAGTGGGGATGCCTTCACTCAGCAGTGGATTGAGCATGGCTGGCGATGGTGATGATGCTGATGATTGGGGCTGGGATGGAGACTGGCTGCATTGATTAGGGTTGCAAGGAAATGCGACCATTGTCAGGTCCTTTGTCATGCTAAACAAGCCTCACTTTGACTGGCAAGACCTGGTTAACCTCAGTTACATGGGTGACATCCGTTTACGTAATATAATACAGGTACTTTATTAATGATGTATAGGCCTTTGCAAATCCAATGTTGGAAGGAAGCCTTACGACGCCGTCGTTTGAGTCATGGGGCTCGTTTGAACATACTTCACCGCGCTAGTCAGTGCTGGTCGTGAATGGGATGGGGTCTGGGAGCAGCTCAGATGTCGCTGTCGCGACTGCTGGTAGTCGTAGCCGGGAGTCATATTCGGCTCGCAGGGTTCATAGTGCAGTTCGCAAACCACTGCGCAATATTATCCATTTTCAGTGTGTAAGCAGATTACTGTCACTTAGTATCTGCCACTAAATACGTTGATTTAAAACATATATCGTCTAAATTGATTATAAAAAAAATACAAGTGGGGAAATGCGATTTCAGCAGCTATGGGGGAAAGTGAGGACAAGCAGGGCACGGTATCCAGCACCACGGTCACAGCAAGGCGCTGTTACGTCGACAAAATCATCACGCGTTCATTTGAATAAAGTATTTGTCAGATAAATCAAGAAATTAGAATACGTTACTTTTAGAATAATACATATGGGACTACGTTTATTGAATACATAAAGTAAAACGTAATCATACATTGATTACCTTCAAAAGCAACTCTCCCAACACTGCCCATTGAACAGGCACTGTTCAATCTTGACTTGGCTTAATCACCTGATGACGGAAGCTTGTGTTGCGTCCGAAACGTCGTGATTTATTTTATTTTATTCCTACGTGACTTTACCGAAAGAACCAAAGAGTGTTGGCACTGCTCACTTCTCTGCTTCATATATAAAGATACAAGTGCAGCGCTGTAACTGCTTGCTGGAAATTGCTGGCGGAAGAATTGCCTCCACTCGAGGGATGTCTAGAGATGCCCCTCGAGAGAGAGAGTATTTGGCCTACTCTTCAACACTGGTCAGATTGTCTTTGAAGAAGTGGAAGTACCAACGCGTTACCCCACCACACGCGGTCTGCCTGACGACTCCATATGTATTAACGGTGAGCTTCTTTCGCACCATGCGGAGGCAACCGTGCTAATGGGACGTGCAGGATTAACCGTGGCATACCCATCTATACTGCTGGCTGGACAGAGACGAAGGTCGAACTGGCGACCTCTGATTGCCAAGTGCAAGGTGAGAGCCATCATACCATGGCAGCGTCCCGTTCCCTTTGTGCCTCGTGGAAATATCCTGTCTTGTCACGCTATATCTCAACTTAAGCTTAACAAAATAGTCGCTTTAAAAACCGCAAAAACAGTGCAGACCAAACTTTATCTTTGTTTAAACCCCACTAATATCAACGGTTATAATTTAAAGACAATATACGATACTGTAAGTACAGTATTTACCAGGGTTCTGCAACCAAATAACAAAAAGAGGACATTTTTTGTCGAATTTGGGAAGTAAAAAAAATCCAAAATATTTCAAGAGCCACAATGCGTGTGAATACGAGACGGAGGGTCCTCGATAAACATCGTCGCGATGGAGCAGTCTTAAAGAGCCGGATTCAGCTCCGGATCCGCAGGTTGCCGACCTCTGGCACATTTTGTGTGCGACATGAATACTGGTCGTCGTCGTTATTGTTGTTGTTGTTGTATGGCTACGGTTTGTTTTGAAAGCCGCGCGACAACAGCGGCCCCGTGGCGGCTCAA